TTTTGTTCATTTTAAGACAACATTTACTCCACGCTTTTTGTTTTAATGCGTCTTGAACATGTTCCGACGTGCTAAGAATCAGAATAGAACTCCTTCCGTTGTTTATCGTTTCCTTTATATCAAGGGCTGTTTATCACATGTTTGATTTACATTAGCAATAATTAAACTAGTTTCCGATTAGTAAACGTGCCTAACAATACTAAAATGGCTGCTCAACAAACTTTGAAGTAAGTTTGTAAGAGGAAAACTTTTCTACCAGTGTGTTCCTAGAAATAAGTTAATGTCCGAATAAGTCAGGGCGGCTGACCGTACATCTGGCGAAGCACGTTCACTTTTGTTTGTTTGAAACATACGAGTGTAGTAGACGTACCTGATCGCGCCGGAGAGTGCAGTTGACGATCTTCCATGATGGATGAGCGTCAGGAGTACAGGTGCAATAGTCCAAATTACAAACTCCTATCTGATGTTCACAAGTTATGAAAGGGCAGATAGCTGCGAGCACGAGTAGCGCCGTAAGTGGCGACATGATGCCGCGCTCCGGCGCGAGGGACCGCGCGCGCCGAGCGTCATGCACAGACTGGCGCGATGGCAGTATCACTGATCGCCGCTGTCTCTTACCATGTGCTAGTGTTGGCTTGCACTCGCGCTCCCGCTTATTATAGATATCGATGATGCGTTTTCATTTGTATTATTAACACTATAAATTCTATTTAGTTATCACCATTAGAATGCTCACGGTAAATCGTGATGAATTATCGAAATGATAATAATGATTAAATGGAAATTAATTATTCTTACTCTAGGAAATTTTGGTTTTATTCCATTCAAGTTGTTCACAGCTGGTTATACTGGCCCTGGATATGCCATATTCACGTGATAAATAACGAAATGGGACAAAAGTTGTATAAGTATTTATGTTATCCATCACTTAAATTAATTAGGATATAAAGCAGACCCATAAAAAATAAAAGTTCTTATCATTAATATGAATATTCACAACTCAACTTTTGAGGTAGTCAGTGAAGTTTGTCTAGTAAAGTTTTGACCGACACGCAGCAACTTGTTGACTGTTTGCAATTTGCCAACGCGACATTGTTCACATCTTTGGACAATAATATTTTCATGTAACTACTGTGCTTTATTAACACGTGCAACCAGTTGATAGTCATTATTTCTATTATAGTATAACCAGGATTCACGCTTATTCGACCGTCAATTTAGTATTTTATATTTCTACTCTTGTTATTTTAATTTCTTTCACAATGTATTGAGACACAAAATAAAAGTATAATTAATTTTATTACCTTGTTATCCTAAGAATCCTGACTATGCGAATTATGATATTGCGGTACCAACTTCTGTCAAAATATTTGTAGTTCTATTTAAAACGTACAATTTCAATTTTTTGGTGACTGTTTTTAAATTGAATTAAATGACATTTTGTAAACAATAATATAACTTATTTTATTGATGATTGAAGATGCTTCCTTCACACGAGCCATATTTTGCTGAACAAAAGAGGTCGTACACAATGACCAGTGTAAACAAAATGAGTATTTCGTAGAAGTTGTTATTTTCCTTCATAATTTAATATTATTATATTGTATTAGATAAGTTTTTGAATAGATCCCTAAAATGAATATATGCTAAAGATAAAGTGTGAATGTGTCCTAATAATATCACTACCATTTATGAATGTATTAAAATATTTTATATTCAAGAACGCGACTGAGTCATGCTTGTGTTTGTTAATTCTAAAATGTATGTATTGTACAATATACAAGCACGTTGTCTTTGTGTGTGTTAGCACAAGTGCGTTGATTTGTCCGTCAGTTGATTATTAGGTATAATTATTTTAGCGATGAACTTGCTAACGCTATATGGACCTGTTGATTCGCCAGCCCGGTATAAAATATCACAGGTCATAATGCTATAGTATTCACGATTTTAAGCTCCGTAGAGATATTTTTTTACTAGTTGTGACAAAAAAATGTAACCCATATGCAATTTTAATGCACGGCGTCATCGATAACGCGCGTCGAGCACATGCCTAGTTGTCGAGATAGACGGAGGTCGGCGAGTATTCGTTGTTAGCGGGCGACCCTGCGGTGCAAGCACACGCACTCAAACTATAACCCATGCTGTAAAGGGCCAGCCCACTACGTAATTAGCTGATGAATGCACTACTGTTACTAACAAATGAATCTCGAAAGCTAGGCTAAATACCTTCTTGACCTTTTTTGCTAACTATCTTGTTAACATCTTTTGCTACAGAAAAGAACGATAACAATTCAAAAATTCTGTGTCATTTGATAAAATATTTTGTTTCCCCTATATTGTGTTTAGTTAATCATCTCTCCAACCCTAATTACATTATTTGTATAGAATGCAATTACATAATGATATAGCATATGTATAGACATTTATGTTTTAAAGGGAATTTAATTATGAATTATTGGAAATTGTATTTAGCTGTTGTATAGAGAGAGTATTTCTTGTCTGCTTATTAAATAACAGTTTTATGCTATTAATGCTATCATGTGCGTGCATGTGATTTTGAGGAATAGTTTTCAAGTAAATTTTTGTCTTTCTATGTTTGAATAAGAGTCATATTCGAGTGTCAACATTTATGTAGAGATGCAAATCGTTGTTGCTTGATTTGATTTTCCTTGCTTTTAACACCGATAGTCTGTTAAACGGAGTGATGAGTTAGACTAAGGGATGGAATTCGAAACCTGGCATGAACGAATATCGACTCATCTGAGTATAAAGTATTTCCATGCTCATTAAGATATCAGATAGAAATTATTTTAATTGGGGATAATCAACAAATATTTCTCGACGGGATAAAACACATCGGTGAGAGGGAGGGAGTGTCAGATTCTTACTGACTAAAAACCACCCAATTCATTTTCCTGCTCAAGACCGAGGCCGCGTTTACCTTATTACACTTGCACCGCAGATAATTTCCAATTATAAGCTTGAAATCCCCAATCCTTTTTATCAAGCGTGGCGATCACTGCCCAAACCTCAGATTAGGATCACTAATAGGATGATGATGATGATGAATAATGTATTGAGAGCTTTTCCTGAAAATATCAATTTATATTAGTTTAACTGAGTGGAGGCTTTAGTTTGTTGCTCGAACTAACTACGAGTACTTTGAAAGTTAAGCTGCATGGGCTGCGGTTGATCTGTGAACAAGTGACCATTTCCAGCGACCTCGGTGCCCTAAACTACATTAACAATGTAACCTAGAATGATGTATTTTTTGCGTTGTTTATATATTTGCGTCTCTCTGTATATGAAGTGACTCTTTCTTTTTTTCACTGCTAATGGACGGATAATAGGAATTATCGTAAAAACTAACATGCAACTGAATCTAGGAAAACAATATAATGAAACTCAAAGCCAATAAAACATACGGTAGAAAGTTAGAAAACACGCTATTATCACACATCATGCCACACTGTATTAATCATCGCGATCGTTAGCTCAATGTTTTTTAATTATATTTCAATGTCTATTGTTTATTTATTAGTAGCTTGTATAAATAATTTTCTGGTTCGCTACCGTTCAAGTCGTGGTGCTCCCTAGATGAATGTCGAGTATATGTCGCAAGTCGCATGTATTTATGGCAACTATTTAACTGATCACATCATTATCACTAGGTATCACTAAGTGCCCACTGCCGAGTAAGCCTCTTCTCGCACGGAGAAGGTTCTAGCATTAATCAGCATGCTTACTCAAAGCGGATAGGCGATTTCAAACTTATAAGTAATAAGAAATTAAAAGTTCAGGTTTCCTCACGATTTTTTCCTTCACCGTTTGTCAGTGGTGTCTAAATAATCATAGACATATAATTCCGAAAGTCTCATTGGTTTCGAACCCACTGATCAACCACGACTTCTTTACTTATGGTTATGTAATAATATGTGTGGTTGTTTGTTGGTGTAACCCTGTAAGTAACCTCACTTCAAAAGAAATATTAGTTTACGAAATAGTTTGTCAATAAAATAATGTCCTGCTTGTGATGTAAGGAAGTAAGTAGTTGGAACTTGTGCAGGTATTATAGTGGTACAGAATTTATATCCTTTCACGGCTTGGCCTAAGCAAAGGCTACCTGTTCATTTTTACTGAACTTATCATACATAATATTAAAAATCAGAACCTACCTATATTTGAAACTCACGAAAAGAAACATTACAAATTTGAGTGTGCTGGTTACAGGTATACTAGTTTTCTTTCGGGCTCAAGGATAGTCTGATAATATATTTCTTGGCAATAAAATCATACGTCATACGCTTCTGTTTTACCTACAAGCATAAACTAGCCAAAAGTACCTACACACGTTGCGTTGAATCAAAACTCGAGAACATTGTGCGAACGAAGTGCAAAGTATTGAGACCCACCACGAGTTCTTTGAGCAACAGTTCTTTTAAAATTTATTCGTATCTAAGGTACACGTGCCTGCTCTATAGTTAACTTGTTCATGAGATAGGGCGACAGACGAGCAGAACTATCACCTGGTTGTAAGCAATCAATACCAGAGAAATGAGCTGTTGGCCAATTGGGAGAAGGGTTTGATCACACACTTTGAGAAACACAACTTCTGTCATGCTGGTTTTCTATGTGGCATTCCACGGATGGCCTATACCTGATACAAGGTTTCTTGAGAACATGACACGCGGTTTTTCCAGAATATACAACTTAGAAAGCTTCCAGCAGAATTTAAATCCTCCCTTTGCAAAGTTTACACTGATTCATGACCTAAACGCACATATTGGTTCCACAAATTGCAGATTACAGGTCCTCATAAGCCATTATTCAATTAGTGGTCCTAATGGATTTAATTAAATAATTACACATCGTTTCAATGGTGCATCATACGTAATAAGCTTAACCTATACGAGGATTAGTGCGCATAATGTAAAGAAGCAATAATGTTATTCAATAAATATTACGAATATATTGGAACGGCACACATTTCAAGTGACAAAATGGACATTCGGAACGAACGCATCAAAGCCTATAAAATTGCTAATTTTTTAAAAGTCCCGGAGAACTTTCCAGGTAAAACTACCAAATGAATGGACTAATAGGGTTCTAGGAATTGTGTATTATTTACCTACACAACATGTCCATTAGTAGCACAAGGTGGTCCGACCTTGCAATCCTCTCCTACACTGCGTGGACAAAAAGTTTTAAAATCCCATTTTTGTACGGGACACTTTTAAAATTGAGTATTCACGTGAAATTAACACTTCTGGACATTATTTTTAGCATCATTTAATACATAGTCCGTAATTTTGTTACGGCAAGTCATATTTAAATGACAGTTTCTGTTATCGTTATCGATCGTAATCGAAGCGTAAGGTCAACTTTGCCATTATAAAAGTATGTAGATAGTCTGCCTACATTGAATATTTTAACTATTATATAAAACATTGTGTATCTGTTTAGGTGCCTATGCAGAAAACATAAAAGTTCACCTAAATGCCATGATAGATTTTGATGGCGCTCCTGCGGTGTTGTTGTGCTTTAAATAGCTTTAAAAACGCATATTCTATCGTAAACTGTACCACAATGAAAACAGTCCACCGTTTTTGATGTTTACGTGTTTTATTGTTTATGTAACTTCTTGTATGTTTCGCGGTGTAAAGAACATATGTAGCTACATAATGATTTATAAGTGCACATATAAATATTGTAAGGCAAGATACCTAAACTCACATATTTAGGTCAACCCTAAATCCAACCGCGTACATCGAGGGATTGGAACAGTTTGCCGGCTGCAGTCTTTCCGTCCGAATACAATTTAGGTGTCTTCAAGGCTAGAGTGAATAGGCTCTTAATAAACTAGTGCGCCTTACCATCAAGGATTGCATCACTGCTTACCATCAGGTGGGATCGCAGTCAAGCACTAGTTTATTGCAAGTAAAAAAAAAATCCTGCAACTTTTACATTTGCATGTTTATAATCAGCTAGGAACACTGACTCTCACCACTAAACCGCTTATTATCTCGCTACTATTTCCAATGTGGTAGAAGATTTCAAATCAATTAAAATGGTTCTTATCCTTTTAATTTGTAGTCCTGGCCTTGCCTTTTTTTAATAGATTAACAGTTTTTATTTCTCCGGTATTGCATACTAAAGCTGAATTATTGTAGTAAATGAATGAATAAAGTATTGATATTTGAAGTATGGTGTGAGATTTGAAGCAACACACAAATTTGTGAAATTATTTTAAACACAAATTATTTTAAACATTTCTACATATAAGCTAAGGACAAAGGACGTACGTAAAAAACTTATCTTCTGATTTATTTCCTTGCGGGATCCAAGACAGTCGTTCATGACCCTGGGACTTCAGTGTTCCGGTGTTATCATTAGTTGTGTCTACTGTAGATCCTGGCTTACAGGAGTTGCAGCGGGCTTGTCCCAAAAAATACTTCAGTAATAAGTAGGTATAGATACACAACTGTAATTCAATTGCACATTGGTTGATAAATATATTTTCTGTTATCCTGAAATATTGATGGGTCTGTAAAAGGTATAGAATTTGGGAATGGCTTAAATTGAAGCTGCACGTTATGGTATTAATTTTAATAGTTTATATTTCAATAGGTTCTGCTATATGGCCGATTACAAGCATCAGGTTTTAAATATTCAGTCGAAATGGGTAGTCCCTTTTTTCTATTTTGAAACTCGACAGTTTTCAATGAATTCTGAGCAGTGTTGTATGGCGTTCCATCGTATGGCTTTTTAAAAAATATCCTTCAAAATACGTTTTTTATTTACATAGAAGAGCAAAAATTGAATTTGATTTTAGCGTTATTAACTGTTGTCCGCCGTAGAAGTAGAATTGTTATATATCCACGTTATTATTTATATTAAGGTGAATTTTCGCTTAAAACTAAGTCAAAAACATTAAAATTTTTAATTGACAAGCAGGACCTGTTTTACGAATACCATTTTGTTTCAGGCGTGAAAATTCACAAACAGTTGAGGTACAAACTGAGAAACTATGTGCATACCGAGTTACATTCAAAATGGCACAGTTTGAAACCATTTCAATTAATAGTTTGCCCTTATTTTTTAACACCTACTGCAATTGACAAAGGTCAATTTTTTCCAACGTTGTACTTCTCTGTTTACAAACTTGCTGTACGTGTGATATTTCAACTTAAGTATCTTAACTAGGAAACAAGTCGAAAGTTATATTGTATTTAAAAGTTAATTTATTATTTCTGCTGGTCTACAACGTTGCTTCGCTTCGCAGTTAATACTGTTGACAATTCCGATACAATGTAGATCAAATTGTTATTGTTAGTGTAGCACATTTTGTTGAGATAAGTTTTTTTTGTCAACAGATGCGTTTCAACGGAGCGTCAGTTCCTGACAGACTTTGTAGCGGGTGCGGAAAGTACAGCTGGTGGCCGCCTGGCTCGCTGGCTGGCTCCGACCTCACATGTCGAGCCCTCCAAGTGCGAGCTGAAGGCCCCTACTCTACCAGTGCGGCCCTCAGCCAGGGTCACGATCCCCATTATCGTACGAGATCAATACGGAGAAAACGTATCCTCACCAGCACTGAAAGTTGAGGTAAGTTTTGTAATATACATACTCGCAACGTTTGAGATGCAACAACCATATTTTTTTACAAAATTTCTATGCCGCCCCGCGTCCTTTTATTACCGTTACTATTGTTTCCCCTCTAAATATCGACTATCATTTATGTCCATGTCGTGCAGCGTGCACCTACACTACCTTAATAAAATCATAGCTTTTGTCTTTCCTAGTACACATTGTACCTCTACTTAGCCATGCAATACTTTGCATTGTGTGTACGAGTATCTTCTTTATGCTCTTTATGAAAGGAGTACCGATACCGTAAGCCTACGCCGGTTGTTATTGAGGTATTTAGTGACGACCGATTCTTGAATAGTACTTATTTATATATCTAAGTAGCGAATGTGTCGCTCTGGTTATATTCCGAGCCGTTCGCGAGGTCGCGGATGGTGTAACGCTGTGTAGTGTACGCAGAACGCAAGAGGGGACTTCGCCCCTCAAATGTGGATGATCGTAGTGTAGTGTAGGTAAGTACATGAATATAAACATGCTCCATTAACAATGTTCGTATACCTCCGACAGTTCCAGTTTTTTTAAACCATGTTGCAGTTTACCGACGTGTCATTTAAGCTTTTCACGTAGAATATTGACACCTCAGTTCCCCGGAATACATTGAGCTGAACGGATCAGTCCGAACGAATCGCCAGATAGTCTCGGAAAAAGCAAAAAAGTGAGAGTTGCATTTTGTATTTATACCCAGGTATACATGCAAAATGCTTTCGCTGAATAAAAGGTATAATGTCATTGTCAAGTTTCGTAAATGTAGGTGAAACATTGAAAACATTGTGCCATGAAAATACGGCTTGCATCGCGTACAACTTTCTATGTGACCTACAGAAATCAATAACTATGTTCACACCTCATACATATGTAGTTATTTGAAAGAGAAATTTCGAAAATATTCTATGTAGTCAGTCACTCTTCGATTTCCGGAGCGAATAAAGTATTCGCCTGAACGGCAGGCGGGAACTGCAACTGCGTTTTCGTATTTTAAGTAAACTAGTTCAAATCAGTCTTTCCCTGTTTTACCTCAAATATTCAATATTACCGGCCCCAGTTACCGTGCTGCATAGTGTTGCTACTAGTTTCCTACTCACCGGCTACCGGCGTTCATATTAGCCATACATAGTTCTTTAAACAATGGAATCTATTTTCATTACATTTTTACATGAGCTTTCACTCGGTATTCTCATTCTCGTTATTAACTATAATTGAAATCGCGAACAGTTCAACAGCTTACTTATTCCTTTTATTATGATAGCGAATATCGAAAATGCACCACTTATATGTATTTGTTCGTCCGCACGCAGATTCTTCGCAAACAATTCTTTGTGTTCGTTGTTTTTAATTTTTTAAATTAATTTCTATGTTAACTATGTATGGGTCCGTATTTCTATAACTAAACTCACTAAGTTTCTAAAACTGTTACTAAAAACGTTAATTGATGATTTCATCATTTACAATAAATTATTTATTAGGTACTTATTTAGAAGGTATATGATAATTTACCTAAGTATATCTACATAACGGTGAGGCATATACTTAAGTTACGAAAAAAAATGGGTCATCGTCGATACTATAGTGTATATACATTAATGTGTCAGAAATGGCAACGTTATCCACACTGGGATCTTTCCTGTATCGACGGCTCCTATATTTTGTATAACTATAACAGTTGACAAATAATTAATAGACTCGACAAATTAGATTTGATTGCTGTCATTCTAGCAGATATTTCTACCGTAATATCCCCGACATGATAGTCCGGAGTTTAGTTCCAATATTGCTGATATTATTAAAGTTTTAATGGCATTGTAATGGATCGCACACACTAGCAAATAATCACATCGGATACAGTGATACTAATTTAATTGCCAGTAATTGATATTTATTTATTTATTGAGTTGGATTCGGTCTCGATGTGTGACCCCTGCCCTGTCTTGGACGGGAAACGCTCGTAAGCCATATTGTTACTGCACTTTATCTACCTCGGGTCAAAAGTTCTGATACTTAGCTATAGCTATGTATGTCATTTAGAACTGATAAGTACAACACAAACGTAATCGTTTATTAAATTGTCAAAAAAGTAATATAATGCTACAATTCTTATGCTAGTCGAGGCCACGGTGCCGTCTTCTCTTTCTGCGAAGCTATTATGTTCGCTAAGAAGGAGGAGGTGCGCTTGCAAGAACTATACTCCTCACGCCCCGGCTGCCGCAGTAGGAGACTCGTAGATCTCCGATCACCGTAAATGCAGGTCTGCGGACGGCGAGAGAGGGTAGCTCGCCGCTGGTCCAGACGCAATCCAAGGGCCAATAGACCACCACAGATGGAGCACACAGGGCTGATGTTTAGCTGGTATTGCGGGCAAGCGCAATAAAATGCCTCGGCTTGGAAATGGGGAAGAATTTGGAAGTTTTTAAGTCAGAGTCTGACACACCTTCTGGCCTCACCCTGGAGAAGAGAAGTCATTTAATGGTTGCAACACTCAAAAAACATTTATATGCTATTCTAATAATTTGATGAAGTCGTCCGTCCATATTGGTTTTGTTCATCACCCCACGTAGTTGTTACCTGGGACAAAATATAAATACTAAACTATCTGTCTTAATACATGTTTGTTTGTAAACGGATATGCATTGTTGCACAACAATACATATTATGCGGCTCTCAGATGTGCGAGTAATATTCAGATGCAGACGATCGGTGTTGCGTATTAAGTGCTGGTTGCAAATTAACCAATAATATTGAATCTCTTCAATCACAAAGTTAAGCTGGGTGTGAACAATAACGGATGCACGACTTAGTGCTGTAATTGTAACCACGACTACTATTCAGTAATTAGCTATTATTTGTATGTACATACATTGATCGAATGGAAATAATTAACCTCTGAAGATATTTAGATACAATTTTTTTTATCAAAATCTTGCCGATTGCTCAGCCAATTCTCCCTATAGATCACTTTGGAATTAATTATCCGATGTTCAACGTTTATGTGCCTGACTGTACTAAAAACATCCTCTACATCTCATGCAAGAATATTTTTGATACTACAGCAAAATTATTTGTCACTAGTTTATTCTTAATAATATCTAAGTGTTAATTGTAACACAATGTAAAGGATAGTGATTTGTCTATAAGACTCATACAAAAAGTAAACTAGAATCCAAATGGTAGAAAGTTTCAATTTTGCTAGTAGTTTCTTTTAGTAGTGTTCCTTTTCCTGAATCTTAATCATTACCAAGTCTTGTTTTTTTATTAGAAAATATATTTGTTTTCTTTTGACGGGTTGTGTTCAAAGCTTACACATTAAAATCTTTTATTTATAAATGTATACTGACAACATATAGTAACGCGTTTATTAACGCGGAAAAAAAAATTTAAATACCTTGGTATGCTTGACAACCAAGGTATTTAAATTGGTAGGCTTGACGTTTCTAATTTTTCCGCGGTAATACCCGCGTAACTATATGTTTGTTTTTTTTTTGTGAGGGGAAAAACATCAAATGACTTCTCCTGCCCAGGGCCGGGCGAGAGGGATTGTCAGACTCTTACTGAGTAAAAACCCCCCTGTTCCTTCTCCTGCTGTGGGCCGAGGTCGCGGTGACTCATTGCGCTTACCCCGCAACCCCCGCTGGCGTAACTATATGTATGTTGTAATTTTGTAAATATGAAACGCGAAAGTTTTAAAGTTAATATAAAAGTTAATACTTACTTTATTGTACACATACACTAAGTAGAAATACGTTAGATACAATTGATGAATATTGTGATTATAATGTGCGGTCTTATTACACAAAGCGATTTCTTCCAAATAACCTTTGGATAGCAGTATATAAAAAAAAACTTGGGTAGAAGAACTTGGGGTTAAGTGAGTGTATATCTAAATTTTATAAAAATTAAATAAAGTTAAAATATTACACAAAAAAAATCAATTATTATATACTAAATTATTTACGATAAAAATATAAAAAATATTCTATTGAATGTGTTGGTAAAAACCGGCTTCAAGATTGATTTATTTATAGTCTGCAAAAGCACATAGGGTTCTTTCATCCGGGTTCAGATTAAAAGCTAGTATTTAATAAAGTGCATTTTCATTGCACATTCTTGTTATCAGTCAGGTTTAATATTAGAGTAAGTACTTATTTATAAAATGCTGTATTGAGCGAGGAATTTTTTTGATAATGACGGAAGCGATGCGAATTAAAAACGTGAATGTATAAATTTAATAGTAAAAGTGCAGACGTTTTTTGTTCTATTAAATTAACGTACTAGACGTTAATTAAAAGTTATTCAATTGCCAGTTTTTTTTTCTCGAAATTATTGCGACGTATACGTATTTTGTGGGTAGCCTGCACCATTTTTTAATTTCCTTCGTATAAATAGTTACAGAAAGATTTCTATGGAATTTCGGTTTCGATAAAAATATGAGTTTCGTTTCATGCATTTAATTTCATAGCTTTCACAATTTACGAATAGTGATTAAAATAGCCGTTAAATCAATCAGCTAGCCCTTTGATCACAGTACATTTTTTAGCCGTTTATTTGCGATGGCGATTCGATTTCGGTGCGATTCAAAGTTCTAACCTAACCTGACAATCTTTTCACCCTTGAACTTACAATCCGAATCAGAAATTTTGTCATTAAATCAACCGACTAGTCATTCAGGCTGTTGTTTGGATGGCTTATTCAACTATTTGGCTGCGACAAATGCACCGCAACACACACATCTGCAGTAAAATCATTCAACGTCAATCACGAACAATAGATTACATGTCGATAATATATTGGGTAAACGACGCTAGATGGCACTACTGTCTAAGGTATCGCGTGTTCGGCTTCAGCATGGAACTAACACATACCTGTATAATATGATTAAGTACGATAGATGTCTCGTGTTCCAAGTCCCTCTCAAAGCATCCGAGACCCTCCCGTACAATTATTCTGCAACGTGTATTAAGTACACA